TATTACTGACATTTTGCAAGCATATTGTTAATTTATATTCTGTAATATCTCTGCAATATTACATTGCAATCTGCAATATTGCAACATTGCAGCGATATTGTTTTAATCTTCTGTGCTGTATGTACAGTAAGGGTGTAAGTACAGTTCAGAACTGTTCAGGAATACGAAAGTACACATCACACTTGTGATTATCGCATAAGCTTGAGCATTTTTAAGAGATTATTCGATCGAGGCAAACCTGTAACCTGTTTTATGCACTTAGACACGTAACAACTTGGCATTATTAACTTTAACAATACGATACTGATGATAAACTAGAAAAAAAACCTTGAAGAGATTTTTATTATGTTAGTATCAACACAATGATGATGAATTCGTACCTTCAACCTCGAAATTGACGCTTGAAAATGTTTCGAAAATGTATGATTAGGTTAGCTGCACCCAATTGATCCAATGGACCTTGGTGTATTTTAAATCGTGTACTATGCACTTCAGCCATTTTTAAGCGACATTTTTGAAATCAATTGTAATATTTTATAATCTAGTGACTTGAATATCGGCTGCAAACTGAAACTTGCATTTCAACGCTTCATATTGACTGTTGCAACAAACTTGCGATTAACTACAACTAATATAGAATATCGGCTTAATGCCTCCGGCACAAGCAACGCGATGTTTGTCGCGCGCAACAAGTGATATCCAATAAGTGTACAGCTTTACTGATATTCTCATTCTAAAGGTATACTGTCATTGGATATCGCGTGTCGCACGCAATGTACATCGCGCTGGACTGCAGCCGGTATTACAGTATAAGTACATACAGTATGGACACTGAACGTTGATATCTTTGATGTAGTAGATCTCAGGTCACATGACTCGCCGCTATGTTGTGGATTGGAAAGACGCTTATAAATTTAAATTTTTATAAAGCTACAGAATGATTTTTCTAAAAAGAAAAGCCTTATGGCATAATTCTGCCATAAGGCTGCCATTACATGAAGCGCGGAAATGTTAAAACGTGGAAACGCGGAAGAAGAAATCAATTAAATTTTACTACATTTCTGCGTTTCCGTGCATTTTGTTCCGCCTATTTTAATTTCTTAATATTACCTGGAGCATAATTTCCGCGAAAAAGCGGAAATATAGTGACAAATATACTTTTGTATTCATTTAAAAAAAATTGTAATTACTTAATTTATTGCAATTTTTATCAATATGCTTATTTTTTCAGCTTATGTATTGAATACAAATATTTTAATACCGTTAAAAATTAGTAATTTCTAATTCCCCGTTCCGCTTTTCCGCTCAAATGGTACTGCATGTAATATAACATCAAAAGGAGATCAAAACAGTTGGAACATAACATGCGGAAACGCAGAAATCTAGTAAAATTTAATTAATTTTGTTTTCTGCGTTTCCGCATTTCCGTGCTTCATGTAATGGCACCCTAAAGATACCGTCCCATAGAGCAGAAATTGGCAACAAAACGGAACTCGCGGAATCAACACGACAAATCACATCCACTCCGTTTTCTTTCTTACGCTTTTTCTAATTCCTTGATGTCTCATTGAGCGAAATAAGTGAAGTAGAACACGTGGAATAATATAATATCATTTATGTTATTTATAATATTTGTAATAAAAATAGTATTTTAATGTAAATATAATAATGTACATAACAAACTGGTAAACATTAAAACTTTTTTAGCAGTAAAATATTTTTAATATAATCGTAAAACTATCTCATAATTAAAGTAAAGAACGCCGAACGGTCGAAGTTAAATGTATAAACAAATATATATTTAATCAATTTTTTGTTCCAATTGTGATTGCGTGCCAATAATTGTCGGACTTTCAACACAATCATTATGAAACATTTTAATAATCCCCCCTAAAAAACTCATAATTGGTAAAACTTTATTTCGCTTCCGTGTTTTCCACTCAATAGAATCTTAGATATAACAGAGAAGCGCAACCGCTGTCCCAATTTCTGATTGGTTCCATTTTTTCTACGGAGAGTCTTCTAGGGGTACGTTTCACTTAACGCTCACAACGCTCGTAGAATTATTTTATCCTTGTCATTAATTAAATATTATTGTCTTTAATTAAATATTAAACAAGAATAAATGATGCTCGCGAGCGTTGCGAGCGTTAAGTAGAACGCAGCCTAGGACTCTAATTTTGGTAATCTTTTGGTTATCTTTATTTTTAAATCTTGATATATATTGGGTCATCTAAAAAGTACCCGTGGTACTTTGTCACTAGATATATATCCATCAACACACATCTAGTGACAAAAAAAAACCGCGGATACTTTTTAGATGACCCAATATATTATAGTCTCCAAAGAGAATTAATATTTTTTTGTAATCAGTAGAAACATACTGTTATAGGAACACTACTGTTACACTACTATTATAGGAATCACACTCCGTTTGCGGACAGATGTAAACATAAGTCGCTATTTTTTCTTTAGACGATTAAATATAATATAATCTTTAAATATACTCGGTTGCGCTTCTCTGTTATATCTAGAATTCTATTCTGAGACATAAGAAAAAGAAAATAAACGGAATTGTAGGCTGCTGATTCATATTTACTGTAATTATCGAATTATTAATATTCTGCTACTGTGTCCATAATAATGAAGAAGACAAAAAATATAATAGTATGTAACCAATCGTTTTATATGGACAATGGCTGTAATATACATTGACAGCATGTAATATTAAAGTTATGTGCAACTTTCGTTCATTCCGCAAATTGTAACGGTGAAATTATTGCGAAAATAGTGGAACGACTGATTTGTCATGTTAATTCCGCGAGTTTTGTTCCGTTGTCAATTTTTGCTCCATGAGACGACCTTAAAGCTGGAAACACAATAAAAAGCACAGGCAATAGGAATAGGGAATAAGAAATTTCAAAAACTTATTAAAAACCATGAATAATAGAATAGAACGCTTTCTGATAAGTTGAAATCTTTTATTCCTTGTTCCTATTGCCTGTGCTTTTCATTGTGTTTCCAGTTTAACAATCGAGATTGGTCAAACACTACTGTCACTGTTACAGAAAGTGTGTGACTAGCTTTATGTCGAAGTTATAATATCGATGTTATGAAACAGAGGAATAGCCAATCATAGCTATTTCTCTGAAGAATGGAGTGACTGTTATTGGCCAGTTTCATAACATCGATGTTATAACTTCGGCGTAAAGCGTGCCGTATAAACGTAGTATATGACTCTCATATTCGCTTTTCTCACTCTCACATCCTCTCTCACAACAACAGGAGCCAATCACGAATCGAATAAGCATTGGCTGATCTCTACTTGTAAGATCTCTAACAAATTCAACATTACTAAGCAACTTTTAATAGAATTAATTGATTTAAATGCAATTAATAAGTAAATCCGTTGAAAAAATAAGAATATTGGTAAAATGTATAGAAATAAATTAATACATTTTTTTAAAATTCATATTAAAATTAATTTGTCACTAGCCCGTGCCTCTTACCGTGCTTTATGTAATAGAATGGAAAAAAAGCAAGCGGTATGATTTGCGCGATTCCTATAGTAAAGCCAACGGCACACGATGCTTGTTTTTCTGCTGGATTGCTAGCTGGATTAGAATCTTGCCACCGTATTGGCTGCGGTGCTGTCAGTGCCAGTGTGCCGCAGGCTTTAAGGCCATTCTACAATATATTGATTATATCGTAGTGTCGAAAGCGTCATGCGACTTTAAAATTGAAACATCGGATTGGCTGAAATAACGAGCTTGTGATTTGTAATATTTATGACACCGCCAACGTAGAATGACCTTTAGAGCTGCCACAGACAAAATTTCTGTAATAGTAACCTTAAGACGTAAACTTAAGCCGGTGAACCAATCAGGATATTGCTTTAGATCTACGTACTTTAATGAAAATAAAAATAGTAGTAAACTTATCCATAAGGCGAATTTCAACCGGTTGAAACTGGCTTTATGGATAAGTTTACTATTTTTATTTCCATTAGAGTAGATTTAAAGCAGTATCCTGAATGTTCACCGGCTTAAGTTTACGTCTTAAGGTTACTGTTACAGAAATTTTGTTTGCAGCAGCCTTAATTACTGTTATCAATTACTGTTACTGCCCATTGTAGACCATGCAATAATCAATTACTGTTGCTGCGCAATGTAGACATGCATAAGATCCAGGAACTAAGGACCAGTTAGCTTAATCGGTTATTAACTGACCAATTGCTATTTAGTAGAATCGACCAATTGCGATTGACAATTAATCCCGATTAAGTTTGATCGGCGTTGGTGAAACTGATACTAAGGGCAAGATCAATCATATTAAAGAATTTTACAATAGTTGCAAAGCTGCTTTTTCTGCTGAAAACCCATGTTTCCTTTCCATCATGTATTGCTGGATTTACACTGGACCTGATGTGCATTGTATGACGTTCCGCAATCAATCAGAAAGCAGAATTTCATTTTGTATCGATGATATGAAGCAAAATTCTGTTTTCTGGATGCAGAGCGTTTTGTCGTACGATGCACGTCGGATCCAGTGTGAATCTAGCAATGTGCAACTATAGGCTGCGTTTAGCAGAACACAATAGTTTTTTAACCGTTTTATGATTGTCTGCTAAGATAGGACTATTTCTCTTTAAAAGCATAACCCAATCAGCGCGAAGAAAACTTTCAACTGTTGAAAAATAAAGCGGGGAACACAGATCCTTGCATAATTCGTAATACGTAATGCATAAGAAAATAAACCAATTAAAGTCCTCCGTTTCCTTCTTTTCCATGAAATAAAGAACTTTAATTGGTTGAATTTCTTATGCTTTATGTGTTAAGTCGGTTCTACATTAGTTACAAGTCGATCGCAAGTTTGTTAGCCAATGAAGCTTACATTTTGAAATCAACGCTTCATATCGGCTGTCGCAACAAACTTGTGATCAGCTTGCAAATAATGTAGAACCGGCTTTATGCAAGAGTCTGTGCTCCCCTCTTAAGCGTTCTGTTGAACTCAGCCAGTCGGCGACATTAGTGGCATGGAACAGATTGAACGGGTATGTTTGGAATCTTCTTCTTGGCTGTCGTGTTTGGCTGTTCGCGAGAATTGTTTACAATCTGATATCCCACATATCCCGATTTTGATCGAGGATATTCCTCGATACGCGTCTTTACCTGATTATAAAGAGAATTGTATACAAACCATACAAACAATTGGTGAGATTGTACCCATCACAGCGCGAGTTGCGCATTTACAAAGTATTTCATCAGATCGCGAGGCAAGAATTACTCTTAGTCTAGAGGAACTTCCTGTACATGCTCTTTATTTCAAGGATAGCAAGGGAAGGCACCTACTTATATGGGTAAAGAAATTAATTTACTTCTAGAAAGATTGTTTCAATGAATAGATCTTTGCGAAAATAAAAGTATAATACAGTTTAGCTACAGCATCTCAAGAATCAAGAAAATTAGGCGATTAATTTATTCGATGCATTTTTACATTAAACGAAAGAATCTGGTAGAAATAAGTGTCGCTTTATCCTGAGAATCGAGATATTAAATGTTAAAGTTGACAATGGTAATTGTTGAGTTTATCCTCCTTACTTTCGATGTTATATAAAATTGACACATTTTTGTATGAAATGAATGAATCTGGCAAAAAATAGTCGCTTTGCCCCGCGAACCGAGATATTGTTAAAGTTGACAGAATTCAGGTTAGGAAATCTCATATCGATGGAATAGGAGAACGTGAGGCTAGAATGAATCTTTTTGCTTCAATTACATAAATGTTCTGATTTAAAAACAAATAATTTGCTTTAAGAATACAAATTCTTTGCTTAAAAACAAATTTTCGGTTAAAACAAATTATACAGTTTAGCATCAAACATCTCAAAAATTAATAAAATTAGGTTTATTCGGCGCGTTTTTATATTGAGCGTTAAAGTTGACTAAGGTGTTACTACGTAACACGATCATTAATCTGTCTGTAAACAGTAGAGTGTATAGACTAGTGTTTATTTCAGGATTACGCCGCTCCGAACAAAAAAAATAATATATCCTACCCGCTTGGAGCCTAACCATCTAAAAGTTGCAGCCTAGACAGTGTCCGCTTGGAATATTCCTAACCTATCAAGACAATGGGGTTGAACAATCTTTGAGCGGGCATTTTATTGTCTAGGCTGCAACTTCTAGGCAGTTAGGCCCCAAGTGGGATGTTTTTTTCTTTTTGTTCGGGGCGGCTATGCCGATTCGAATTAATAAGCACTAGTAGTAATACTTTAATCAACTGTAACTCTTAATATCTCGTTTTGCAGAGCAGTCCTGAACTTTTTTCTGTCAGATTTTTTGAATGAGCCTAATTTCATCGAAATCGGAGGTAGCTCTCCTGAAGAATTACCCTCATTTTGTCTCTGTAACAGATTTCTTAACATCAAAAGTTGTCAACTTTAACGCTTAATTCTCAGTTCGCGGGGCAGAGCGACACTTTTTTCTGATTCTTTCATTTTATGCAAAAACGCATCGAATTTTATTGATTTTTAAGGTAGTTGGTACTAAACTGTATAATGACCAAATTTTCTATACAATTTTTATTTTTGCAGTAGAGAATTTGTTTTGATTAGATATTTGAGTATTTATTCAAAAGTCCTCGCTTTTAATTTCAATGAAATTACGCTCATTTGACGCGTTTTTGCATGAAATAAAAAATCTGAAAGTAAAATATTATATTGTACTCCGCGAACTGAAATATTAAACGTTAAAGTTGATGACTATTCAAGTTAGGAAATCTGTCACAGTTATACAACAGTGCAATGCGAATATGAAAATCAATGAAAAGTGTTTGTATGAAACAGTACATTCCTCCTCCCCCTTCCTCCCCTATGGGGGCTCCACTCTGAAAAACCTAACCCACCACATATTTATGGACGTACTGCTTCCATGTACCTACATACTTCTCATCAATTTTTACATAATAACTTATTTAAAAAATTATCCATTTTCCACACATATTTTTTTAAAGCAATTATGTTTTCTTTCCACCAACTGATTCATCTCATTATTCTGTAAAGTACTTTCATAAAAGTATTAAAATACGATTATCAAAAAATTAATAGTTTATGAGATATTTAATATGTTATACCTACATATAACAGAATAAAGTATAAAATATCTCGTTAATTATTGGTTTTTTGTTATCATTACCTTAATACTTTTATATGCAAAATAATTAGAGGAACACATCATATTGTATAAAAAGTATTATACAATTCCATTTAAAAAAGTGGAGGCCTTTATATTTTTTTAGTGTCTTCACCTAGAAGAAAGACATATGACTAAAATACGTCCCCCTTGAAACCATGTAATTTTTGCACTTTTCCTTCTATTATTAAAAACAAGTGAGTTATTCAGGAGACCTGTTTTAAGTTTATCCTGATAAATATATGTATAATGCGGCATTCCACGCCAAAAAAATCGGATGATTCGTCACCTCTGTCGATTTTTTTAAGTGATTTTTTAATTTATATTTCTTATATTAAAATATGTATTTAGTTATTTTTTTTTTAAATTTTTATCTCTATTAGTTTCTTAGATATGAATTTGCTAATAACTTTAATTTATTTTTTTTTCGTAAACGTTTAATTGAACATAATTTCTATTTAAATTATGAAAAACAAAAAATAATCACATTAAGTTGTTTGTCTTGAAATTCTCTGTTAAGAAAAAAATATTTAAAAAATTTCAAGTTTTTATTTCTACTTGAAAAATCTGATTGAAATAAAAAAAGTCGATTTTTGTCAAGATCGACATTTTTAATTTTTATAAAAACATTCTCTAATATTCTTATAAGAGAAGCTACCCAGATGTTCAATTAGTTTTGAAAAAGTAACGATTAGAAATTACAGTATTCTATCTCCTATTAACTAAAATGAGTACTATATACATACATTTGCTCAGAAAATGAGTTTAAATGATATTTTTTCGTAAATTTTTGTCCTTTTTAGGTTTTTTTTAGGTTTTTACGTATGAATAATAAAATGTATTATCTATTATACGTTTTCAATGAATTGAAATTTGAAAAGTTTAAAATATTTTATTGTAAGTTTATTAAAATAGTTTCCTGTACTATAAAGTAGAAAAATTAGAATTACATGGAACATATCAATGAAATCGAGACCAAGGTTTTCTTTTCTATTCCACTTACGTATATTATTCATACATACGTAGAAAAATCCAAAAAGTAAAAAAAAATTTACGAAAAAATTTTATTTAAAGTTATTTTACAACGGACATTTAAACTCATTTTACATTTTAGAAAAGATCCCTTTATAGTGGATTTTAACTCCATTCTTCTAACGAATATCAAATTTTCTAAGCGAATGGAATTCATTTTAGTTAATAGCAGATAGGATACTATAACTTCTAATCTTTTTTTCAAGACTAATTAGATCTGGATAACTTCCCTTGTGAATAGAAATACAAAAGAATTCAAGCCATATTTGGTTATGGTCAAAATTTTCATTGCTTTTTTTAATTTTTCATAATACTATTTAATGTTAATAGATTTTTAATCTGCTGATGAATTACATAAATTGAGAATATAAAGTATAAACTAAAATAGTAATAAGGTTTAATAAAATAAAAACCGAAAGAAAAAGGGCTATAAGCCTAAGATTAATATAAGAGGTTACGCCTAGTTAGGTAGATCGAAAAAAAAAATTTTTTTAAATTGTGTTTTCTTAAAGTATGTAATCTTAATAATATTTCTTCAAAATTTTAAAAGAATCGGTGCACTCATTCAAAAGTTGTATTTAGAAAGCGCTAGCTCGAGTCAGGAGCAACAGCGCTCCACAACTTTCCGCAGGCGTCCTATTGTGTCGCTCGAGATTCATGGTCATGTATACATTCAAGTACGTTAGTATTAGTATTTTTTGGAACCTCTGTTCGAAAATCAAAACTTTGAGGCAGTTGTGTATAGGCTTTAAAACGTTCAAAAATACATTATGATCAGAGTAAATTAATTTTTTCTCTGCATTTATTACAGCTTTTGCCGCTTTTTTATAATTGGCTTTTCATCATAAAGTTTCACATGAACGCAGATCATCAGACAATATGCACAAGTCAAAGTCGAAAAAAAGGAAGCAGAGTTTCAATCCAAAAACAGCAGAAACTGATGAGAATAGTTTCATGCATTATGGAATGCGTTATGGAAGAAAATTAAGGGCGAGGAGGTGACCATGTCATTAATTATTCGGTCGAATACTGAATTTTGAATTTTATTACAGTCTTTTCAGCTCTTTCGCAATATAAAGTGCAAAGTATATAATGGTGACATTAAATTTGCATCAACAGATGCGCGAGGACTAGGCTTCAAAATTGCATCATGTGTGATAAGTGTGAGCAAACATTCCTTCGAGTTTGTTTATAAATCATTTATACGAAGTAAGTAGACGTTTTATTTTTACAATGAAAATGCTCGACTTAGGACATGCAACTTGTGCAAAATTTTGCGGTCTCATGGATATGCCGCCGTTTTTCTTTCATAATACTTATGATATTTGTATTATACTACAACATACGTAAAAGATGTATATGTTCGATTTATTCGCAAAATTAGCTGTGAAGCAAGAAATAGAACAGACTAATGGACCGAATAAAAATCATTTAACAGTATCTGGTGATGGTACATGGAAGACACATAGATTTATTTCACTGTATGGAGTTGCTTCCTTGATTGGACATTATATTGGCAAGGTTTTAGATGTCATAATGAAAAGGGCATATTGCAAAATGTGTGAATCGTGGTCGAAGAAATTAAATGAAGTCGAGTATGAAGAAAACCCATGACGTACCCATCACAGTTAATCACTCAGCATGAAAAATGGAGGTCGATGCCATTACGCAAATGTTCCGAAGGTCTGCACGGTGTCAAATATGTTCATTATATTGGAGACGGAGACTCCAAAATTTACAGTGCAGTGATATCCTGAAATCATCGCCTTACGCAGATATTGACATTGTAAAAAAGAAGTGCATAGGTCATGTGCAAAAGCGAATGAGCAGTAGGTTGCGCGAGTGCAAAAAGAAAAATAAAGGAGCAGACTCAGAAGCAAGGGAAAATTAATCGGAAAAATGATCGACAAATTAACTGTGTATTATGGCTTAGCGATTCGTCGGCACATTGACCGAAGCAATGGATGCGATTTGATCATTACAGCTCTACCAACGAAGCGTCAATCCGCGTCACGAAAAATGCCCTCCCGAAAGTGACTCGTGGTGTGAGTGGCAGAGAGCTTACGCAGCACTGCCTGAAGATAAAAAGAACGAGAACGGAACTTTCAAGCACACGTATAAGCCTCTTCCACCAGATGTTTTGACAGCTATCAAGTCCATCTATGAGAATTTATCTAAAAAGGAACTGCTTGAAAGATGCGTTGACGGATTCATGCAGAACAATAACGGAAGTTATAATCAACTGATTTGGAAAATCAGCCCAAAGAGTCTTCCGGGCGGTACACTCTCAGTTGAAATTGCAGCATATACATCTGCTTGCATTTTTAACGAGGATAATAGCCTATTTGAAAATTTTTGAGGCATAGGCGTGCCTTGTGGCCAAAATGCCCATTCATATATTGCAAAACAAGACGAGGTCATGTGATGATTGTTGAGCGGCGCGCGTAAGAGGCCACTAGAAAGGAAAGGATGGCTCACAGACAGCACCAACTCGACATCCTGAAGGTGGCAATAGAGGCAGAAGGGACCTTTTACGGCCCTGGAATAGATGACTCTATGTAAGTTGAAGAAAATTTATTTTAACTGTGAAAAATATAGGCTTGAAACTTTAAACGCGATTATCTCGAAACTGTGTGTTTTTTTTTAAATGCCGTTGCAGTGTACAAAGTTTCTCAAAAACTTCAAATTTTACATGCTTATTTGTTATCACAAATAAGCATGTAAAATTTGCCAGACATTGAACGAAGGATTTCATTTTAGTCAAAACTTTTTTTATTGCAAAAAAAAAACCAAAATTCGTTTACTGTGAAAAAGTGATTTTTTTGTAAAATTATTAAATATTTATTAATTATTTTAAATTATTAATTATTTAAAAATCAATATTTAATCAAACCCTTCGTCCAATTCCTTCGTATTACAATATACTAATGCAATCTATTTGGATTTTGACTTCAGATAAGCAGGGCTGGAGATATTGTGTACATCGTAATTAATGCTGAAAAAAAGCGTTCTGAGAGATCGGCGATATTTCTGTCATTTTTCATTATTTTTGAATAAACAAATTTGTGAAAGTATATTAAAATATGCACTTTAAGATATCGTTTTATTAATTTCAATAAATATTCATTAAACCTGCAAAAAAATTCTTAAATATCACGTAATTTTTGCGAACCCAACTAGGCGTAACCTCATAAGTTAAAAATTGAATACGTTAATAAATAAAACTGTCGTTTAGCTAAATATAACTTTAATATACCTGTAATAAGCAAAACAAAACAAAAAACAAATGTTTCGATCCATGTTGGATCATTAACAATGTTAACAAGAAGCAATGAAAATATTACAAAGAGAGGATACATAGAATTATAATTCGCTCTCGATCGCAGTATTAAAGTTATCGATAATATCGCTCAGTATGCAGTAGATATTAATCTAGAGTGTTGTTAACAGTGTATTCCTCTGGTAATTTGTATGTACTATAGATACCGTAATTATTTCTGTTAAAGAATAATACTAATATAATATAAAAATATATTAGGAATAAGTAATAGTAATAAAATGTAATCATAGAAATAACAAACTAAAAAAGAATAAGAATAAGAATAAAATAGTAATATATAATAAAGAAAGTACACTGAAAAACATTAATAAGAAGTTGTGCGATGTACAAGTTATATATAATTAATTTGGTAGCAGCTAAATTAAATGAGAATAAATACCTTATGAGTATGTGTCGATATAAAAAAGTCGTCTAATTTTAGACAATGCGACGAGAGTGAAAAACGAGTCATTTCTTTCAGATGTTCAGAGACAATATAAAATCGACATTCTAAACGAGAAGGTTGATATGGTAAACTAAAAAGGAAGACATAGAAGACTAGAAAGGAGAACATAAGAGGGGAAAAAATAAAGTAGAAAGAAGGGAAAATTAGGAAATGGGAAGTAAAATAAAGTATAAAAAATACTTAAATTAACAAACTATTATCTCACTGTTTTTATCTACTTTGACTTTCTATAATTCTGTCATGAAATAATTGCGATACTTTAAAAGCGAATAATCACCACTATTGTGATTAATACGCAATGACATTATTGGATTTAACATCAGCGTGCTAACTGCAGGATATGATTAAGCTAACTTTTTACATCTATCAGTAGAAGTGTATTTTTTCTTCTTATTATATAGTTTCACTATTAAGCCGTTTATAATTTAAATATGTTTATATTGGGTCATCTAAAAAGTATCCACGGTACTTTGTCATATATATGACCATCAACACACATCTAGTGACAAAAAACCGCGGATACTTTTTAGATGACCCAATATTAATTGTTTATTACCTGTTTAACATTGATAATGATGGTCGGAGTCAAAACATCGTTTATATAGTTCTTTATGACTTTATTTTATATTGTTCTGATGAGATTATTTTTACTTTATTTAGTTCTTATTAATTATATTATATTTATTATTTATATTCAATTTTTTTCTTATGGTTTGTATCCTTCTCAATATAATTTCGATTAAAATATACTATTTTTCTGATGGTGCTTCCAACAATTCAAAAATTTTAAGAACTTTGCAAATATCTATTATCATGAAGAAGACTTTGGAGTGCCGGCTGAATGGCATTTTTTACCCCGGCAAGGGGCCATGTGACGGAATAGGTGGTACGATAAAAAGAATGGTTATTCATACAAGTCTTCAACGCCTTGATCGCTAAATAACTACTCCATATGAACTGTTCAAGTGGGGTCGATTGTATATTTTGAAATGAAATAAAAATTACAAAAGTGAACAAATTCATTAGAATTTTCATAATTTAATTGGTTAATACCTAGTAATCTTTGCTCATTTCTCTCTCTCTCTCTCTCTCTCTCTCTCTCTCACTCATCTCATTTTGAATACACAATCGACCTCCAGATCCAATGAATTTGATAAATATCGTAGTAAAGTTCTCCTTCATGAAAGAATATAACTTAGCAAAGGAATATCTTGTGACTCGATTTTAAAGAACAAATCCTGTAGCTAAGATTAAAAAAATTTCTAGTATTATTCCTAAAAAAAAAAAGGTAGGTTTATTGTAAAAAAATTTTCAAACTCTTTGGATTATAGAACATACAAGAGTGAGAAAAAAACTGAAAAATGATGTTATGAAAAAAATGATCTTTATATAAAATCTTATATAAAAATGATCTTTATTAATCAATTTTTTTACGTATTTCTAAAAGACGTTATTTTATTTAAATAATGTTCTTATAAATTCCTATTCCTTAAATAATTAAAAATATATTTGAAATTAAAAATATATTTTCTTATATCGTTATGAAATAACATGATTTATGTAACTCATCAGCAGATTAAAAATCTACTAACATTAAATAATTGAATTAATTTTAAATTCTTTGTATTTCTACTAAGAATATTAGAAAATTTTTTTATAAAAATTAAAAATCGATCTTGACGAAAATCGACTTTGTTTATTTCAATCAGATTTTTCGAATAAAAACGAAAACTTAAAGTTTTTTCATATTTTTTCCTAATAGAGAATTTCAAGTCGAACAATTTGATGTGGTTATTTTTTGTTTTTTATTAATTTAAATAGAAATTATGTTCGAATGTTCATGAAATAAATCGAAAATATTAACAAATTCATATGTAGGAAATCCATGGAGATAAAAATCTAAAAAAATTAGCAGGGTCAGTGACAAAGACCTTCCGATTTGACGTGGAATGTCTCATATGTATCAATTAAAAATCTTAATATGCATTTCATATCAAAGTAATATTAGTTTTAACATTTTTTAGCTGTCCATATGTGTGTGTGTACATATAATTTTGTGATATCTTAAAAATTATCGTCTTAATGACATTTTTAACATCAATAAGTTGTTTTAGTGACGTCTTTGATATTAAGATATCGTAGAAATATTAGTTATTATAATATATAATATATCCCTCTACGCTCCTTAAGACGTTATGCCATAATATTACTGTGATATTCCATGTTATTTATACAACATTTAATATATCAGTAATTTCTTATGTATTGCAATATTGCTGCGATATTACTGTGATTACGTGCTATAGGGGAAATTAATATAACACATAATAACACATAATACAATATAGGTATTTATTAGGTGTTGGAATTAATTCGTAGCGTTTTACAAGTGATGGGAAGTACTTTCATTAATGTATTTTTTAATGCTCATGTGAAATAAATAACATTCTTTCATTAAAAACGCTACGAATTAATTCCAACACCTAATATAATAATAATTTTTTATGCAAAATGTAACTTCGGGATTCTGAATACAGAGTAGTATTTTTATTTTTAGGATATTTTTGCTGATAATATGTAGAGACGGCTAAATTTCATCCTGATTTGTAGCCTTGTCATAAATCTTTCTATTTCAAAATGCTCGCGTATAAATCCATCTCAAGCGTATTTAATAACTTAAATTATATGTTAATATAATAATTTTTTTACATACAATATTTTACATATATTAGGTGTTGGAATTAATTCGTAGCGTTTTACAAGTGATGGGAAGTACTTTCATTAATGTATTTTTTAATGCTCATGTGAAATAAATAACATTCTTTCATTAAAAAACGCTACGAATTAATTCCAACACCTAATAATTTTTACATATAATTATAATTATTTTTTTAGTTTTATACTTTATACTAATCAATAATATTTTTTATTATAATTAACT